AGTAGTAGTAGTATAGTAGTAGTAGTAGTAGTAGTAGTAGTAGTAGTAGTACTACTACTGCTGCTGCTGCTGCTACTGCTACTACTACTGCTACTAGTACTAGTACTAGTACTAGTACTACTCGTACTACTAGTACTACTAGTACTAGTACTAGTACTAGTACTAGTACTAGTACTAGTACTAGTACTAGTACTAGTACTGCTGCTGCTACATCTACCACCACAACCAATTAAAAGTCATAGCAGTAGTACTATCTTGTAACCGTAATGACAGGAATGGACTTATGACAAAATTAAAGTATGAACAACTACTGATACTAAAAACAATACTGTAATGATAGCAGTCGTAATCACAATGCAAGTAATTATAGTAACAGTAGCGATAACGAAGCAAACAAAAAAAATAATACCAATAATGTTGCTAGTACTAGTAGTACTCAGAGTGCGACTGAATTCTTTACTGATCCTGTTTCGGTTTCTGTTGATGCCTATCCCGTTAAAGAAACCCACGTCGCCAAGAGATCTACCCCCGGAACGTTTACTGGAAGGCATACCTGCACTTCACACATCCCAAAATGCTGAAGATTCTGTACTCCGCCGTTAAGGTTCACAGCTCTGTGATGCGGCTGCGTCGCGGGATAAACTGCGTGGGCAGCATGCAAGACACCTTTTTGGGGACAGAAAACTGCAGGAGGCGAGGCACCCGGCCTAAGAAATACGAGGATTTTGCTCACCTCATATAACAGGCAAGTGGACGTGGGTCCTCGATCCTAACCAGTACCCAAACTGGGAAGGTAGCTTCAAGTCTAGCTTAAAAAAAGTTTCTGAACATAGGCGATCCTCATGTAAAATCGTCCCTGAACTCCTGGGATTTTGGAACAAAGTCAGTGCCTAAAGTTTGTTTCCCTGTTACCCACCAAATGCAACTGCCGCCTCAACCTCCTGATTCCTATGAATAATGTAGGGGGCATTACGTACGTAGAGCAGGATCTTGAGATGTGTTATACAGTAACTATGGAGGGACTCTCTCTCTCTCACACGGACTCAGTTGCCTGTCAGCCGCGACGCAGAACATAGCGATTTCGCCATGCACACTTAGCTAAAATGAAATGCGAGAACCGAAACTACCAAACTACAAGGATGTCACATGCTGTGCCCAATCATCCCGGATGCCCTCCAAGCTGAGTTGAGGTAGGCGTTTCAAGTTGTGTGTGTGTATATCCGATTGGATACGTGACCCATGCAGTGCGACGACAGTGGCTGAACACAGCAGTTGTACCACGAATAAGTCCCCATGTAGCATGAGAAGACGTGGAATAAACTGCTCCAGGACCGAATGCACTGTTCCATAGAAGGTCAACTGAAGCCATCCAGACGTCTCACATAACCACTTAAATGTCCACGAGGCATCAGGAGCATAGTCGAACAAAACCGCGCG